TATATATATATATATATAAATAAATAAATATAAAAGTCCTAAAATGTACACAATTGAATATTTTTTTTTTAAATAAACGGTCACAGAATAAGAACATGTGAATAACTCAATTTTGACAAACGTCAGAACCTTTTAATTCCAAGTTGACAAGTTTTCAAGAGACTAACCAAAAACGTGATTAAAAAAATCAGTAACTGGTATTACTTTGTTTCTGCCAATTGTTTCAAAATAATAATACTAATAATGCATTGCTAATTTATTTGCACTACACTTAACAACTTAAACTGCTCTTTCTATATACACGTTACTCGTAAGTTATTAATAAGAGCAAACACCTTAGGACATGTCTCAAAAATGTAGACAGTGAAAACGTGTTTAAAGTCACAGAATTCCTTTAAATTGTCTCTGAAGCTCTCAAGCTTTATTCAGCTCAACTAGAGGTTATCCTTCATCACACTTACCCCAAACTAAAGGTCCCCATCCTGCTCAGTAAAATAGTATTTTTTTCCTCATACTCAAAAACATTTACAAATTATATTGATTATGTGAATTTTATTTAAATAAATGTAAAAGAAAAATAAATCACTGTACAAGACGTCTATGAACTTACAAAATGTATTTACACAAGAAAAACAATTCGAAAAAAAAAAAAAAAAAAAAGTTAAAATGTTATTTATTTGATTTTTTGTAAGCTATATAAAATCAGTTAGTTTCACAATGGTTTGCTTGTGATTGGGAAGGGAATCTTTTTGTTTTTGGAGGGGAGCAGGGAATGTTGTACATTTTCATCGATAAAGTCCACTTGAAAGATAAAGATTCATGTTTGTTTGTCTTACAATTAGTCTATACAAATGTAGCGACGTTGTGACAATTTATTCTGGTTTGTTTGGACAAGCACGTGCCAAATGGGCCAATTACAGACTGCACATGGGAGAACGACATTCATCTACTCAGAACAGAAAAAAACTATAGGTCAACAAAAAGGACAAGTAATTTAATATTGAACTAAAAAAAAAACTCCCTATACTCAAGGAGTGCGATATACGCCATATATTGCGTTTATATACAAAAGATATGTTTGTTTCTTTCCTCAGTCCAGGGACATGCGTTATATAAACCCGACGACCTCTAAGGATGACGCAACACTAACTTCCGGCTCAATAATAATGCCACAGAAGCGTAGCCTCTGCTTAAACAGTTTTAGGGACACCCATTACCTTATACAAGCATAAAACACTACAGATAATTAGAGACTGGTTTACATGAATTCAATGAATAATCATGTTAGCAAGCCTCGAGCCACAAAATGGCGCCTTGCTAGTTTTAGCATAGCTAGCCACACATTACCCCGCCCCGTCAGATGCTGACATTGAGCTCAGTTAGCAGTCCCTCCCTCCCCTAGCCATTCCGTCAGCTAAATTAAGCTAGTTCAACCTGGATCCAAAATTTTACCTTTCCGTCTCGGGAACAACAAAGTTAAAACTGCCGAACTGAGACAGACGTTGCGGTGCAGGATGAGCTCTGCTGGAAAACTTCACCAAACGAAGGATCTTGTTGATGCTTTGCGCCCGGAAAAAAACCTCTTTGAAAACGACTTAAAGAGTTTTGAGCTTAGTTTTCACGCCAACAGAACAAATTAACGTCACATACATGTATACGTTTGAAATTACTCTGTTTCTTTGAAAGGTTAGTCAACAATGGCGGACGTCTCTCACGGCAACCGCCTGGTATTTATACCCTCCTGCTGAAAGCGCCCAATCCCATTGGACAAGACCCTTCACGTGCTCCCTTCTTCCCCCTCGCGGCTTTAACGCCAAGAAAATATTCCTTTAAAATGTATCGCATCGAAACCTCCCTATTTTTATAGCATAAGCAACTCCGAAACGCTATTTTACAATTAAACCTGTTTATTTTTTACGACGGCGGACGAACTCCTATAAGAAACAGACAAGTACGTCAGAGTATTTTTTTAAAAGTGCGACATAACTGGTCTCCGGACATCACATGACCATTCTAGAACATTCTGTCGATCGCTATAGCTCAATTCCCCTCTTTAGTGTCTGTTAAATGATTACATTGCGGCTCTTTTCCGTGGCTTTGTTTGTCATCTTCTGGCGAGTGTTGGACATCGGTCATCCCTGCAGCTTGAAAAAGTCTCTCACGGCAACCGCCTGGTATTTATACCCCCCTGCTGAAAGCGCCCAATCCCATTGGACAAGACCCTTCACGTGCTCCCTTCTTCCCCCTCGCGGCTTTAACGCCAAGAAAATATTCCTTTAAAATGTATCGCATCGAAACCTCCCTATTTTTATAGCATAAGCAACTCCGAAACGCTATTTTACAATTAAACCTGTTTATTTTTTACGACGGCGGACGAACTCCTATAAGAAACAGACAAGTACGTCAGAGTATTTTTTAAAAAGTGCGACATAACTGGTCTCCGGACATCACATGACCATTCTAGAACATTCTGTCGATCGCTATAGCTCAATTCCCCTCTTTGGTGTCTGTTAAATGATTACATTGCGGCTCTTTTCCGTGGCTTTGTTTGTCATCTTCTGGCGAGTGTTGGACATCGGTCATCCCTGCAGCTTGAAATATCTCACAAAGAGAACTATGATATGATAGAGCACTGAGCAATGCTGAAGGGAGGCGAACTCAACTACTGCGCACGCGCACTTGCTTGATAGTGATTGGCTTCTCAACTGACGCTCAATTGACGCCGTGCTCAACTTTTGCGTAAGAAACGCCGTACAACCTTTATGAAACCTCTTCAAGCAAGCTTTATAACACAAAAGTTTATAACACAACCCAACGGGAATACATAGAATGAGGGAGAAAAATATAACAAAATAAATACATATAAACACACACACACACACACATATATATATATATATATATTTACATACACAATTTTAACACAAATTAAACGTGAGTGAGGATAATCAATATGCATCGCAAGTAATATAGAGAGAGATTTAAGACATTCATTTTTTTAGCTGCTTTAGGGATTGAAATAAAATTTTGCTAAACATTTTTAAATGCCACAAAACATGGAGCAAGAAAATCTCCGTGCATTAGGCCTATACTTTCTATGATTGGAGATAATATAAGTTTGCCCCAAAATGACAATTTTGTTATCGTTTACACGTTGCTGCAATCTTGTTAGCTTTTTTCCTTCTGCGAAACACAAAAGGGGATTTTAGGTAGCGTGACAGCCTCAGTCACCATTCACTTTCATTGATCTTTTATCGGTACAACGATAGTAGTAAATGGTGACTGAGTCACTCTAGCTAACATTTCCTATTATATTCTACGAAAGAAATAAAAATGATGACAATTATCATTTTGGATGATGATTTCTTTAGTCTGTTTCAGCAGCATTATTTGAAACAAACCTTCCACAAGAGGGCACTATATGCCCTAGTTTGGATGGAAAAAGCTTCCACTATTATGTTTTCTTCCTTGTAGTGCTGCTATAGCTACAAAACTTGCACATGTAGGCTAATTACACATTTACTAAAAGGAATGGTTTAGCGGTGTCCTCTGCTTAACTATAAATATTTAGAGAGAGCTAAATAACAAATGTCATAAATAAATAAATGTCATACATGTTGATTCATGTTGTCATGTTTGTTTTTTATTCTCATTTTTTGTCTTTAAGGCAACTTCAAGGGAATCTCTAAGTAGCCATACATAAACATCCCCTGTATTTGCTCATATGTCAGATGAAAGGCTTCATCATGCCATGTGGCTCCAAGGTCAAGAGTTCAGAACCCGGCATTCCACAGGGTCATATCTCATATATGAGAAAGTGTTATTCAGGAAAACACTTTCACATCTAAGGACAGAGAGAGAGATCAGGCCATGATGGGAGAAGGGATATATGTTTCTATGCAGATATTACATATGTAGAAGATATGGTGAGCCCTTCCATTTTTAAATGCAATACCACCAGCGTACTGTTATGGATTAGGCATTACTAAGCACTATTCCAAATAAATAAAAATAAAATAAAAAAATAAAATATTGGTAACACTTTACAATAAGGTCACATTAGTTAATGTTAATGAATGAATTAACTAACATTAACAATGAGCAACACATTTGTTACAGTATTTGATAAAAATGGTTTATAAAAAAATTGTTAGTTCACTTTAGGTCCATTAAATAATTGTTATTATTAATTAATTTTTATTTTAATAATGTATTAGTAAATGTTGAAATTAACATTAACTAAGATTAACAAATGCTTTAGAAGTATTTTTCATTGTTAGTTTATGTTAACTAATGTGGTTAATGTTAACAAATGGGACCTTTTTGTCAAGTGTTACCATATTCTCTATTATTTTACAGATGGTTTTCTTTATAATTTTACAAAATTTCCCTAATTTTTTTTTAAGAAAAACTATTTAATTCAAAGGGTTTGACAAAAATCATAAATGTGAGCGAAACAAAGGAAATCAAAGAATTAGGGCAGGGATTCATGTTCAGGACTAGATTTCGTTGCATCTTCCTCCCCGTCTGTGCAGATGCTTTGAGTAGGCCTGGTTCTGAGGCATACATATGCATGAGAAGTGAAAAATGACATGGAGCCTCTGAGTACATCTTCATTGACGCTCAAAAGCAGCACATCAATGTTTTCAAGACAGCAAGAAGCTCCAAAACAAAGTTTTCTATCTTGCAAGGGTGCTGTCTCATTAGTGGCAAATCATGACTCTGACATTTACACTGTAAGCAGTGGTAAAGCATTTCCATTTCCTTTAGAACGGAGCGGAACATTTCAGTCAGACAACATACGTCTGTTTGTTCGGGGAAACAAGCCAGGAGAGGAGGCAGAGGCAGAATAAAAAAAATCAAAAAAAATCAAAATGCAAATCAAAAGTAAACAGATATATCCCACAAAAACAAATAGACACAAACGTGCATCTGTGCATGAGTTTAACTCACAAACAACAATACAAAGGATATTGCATTTATCCTTTGCTTATGTTTAAAACTATCTAAGCATATCTCACATGCAATTGACCCTTCGCAAAGACCCGCCCCCCTTAGTAACTGTTGCTATGGCTGACAAGCCATGCCGCAGGTTACTTCTGGTATGAAACAAAGTCATAGCTTTCACAAATTTGTTACGTTTTAAGAAATTCAGACAATAAATATCATTTTGTGGCTCTTTAATGTGTTGTGACAGATCACTGTAGTGCCTCACATGAACATGAACATAAACGGATCATCTTTACATATTTACTAGTTAAAGCACAAAATAAACATGAATGGCCACTTCTTTTATGGCAGTTAATTATTGATTCAAAGTAGTGTGCACACATCCAAACATAACTAGAACAGGTGCTCAGTCAAAAAGAATCAATATTAAAGAAATAAAAAAACTGGCACAGTTTTATCTGCTCTCATGTAACTTCAATATAATACGACCCAAACAAGGTCTTTGTCAGGCAATGCAAACAACAAGAAGACCTTGCTTGGGTCAAAACGTTGCAATTGCAATAAGTTAATTATTGATTGCCAGTGCATTATTAATTAGTTAATCCCACAATCAAGTACTCGTTAAAAAGGGGGGCAGTTATGGTCTAATGGTTAGAGAGTCAGACTTGTAACCCAAAGGTCGTGGGTTCGAGTCTTGAGGGGAGTGAATGACCAGTGCTCTCTTCTACCTTCAATACCACGACTGACCCTTGAGTAAAGCACTGAACCCCCAACTGCTCTGAGGGCGCCGCATCATTGGCTGCCCACTGCTCCGTTTGTGTGTGTGTGTTCACTACTCACTGCTGTGTGTGTGTGCACTAGGATGGGTTAAATGCAGAGCACAAATTCTGAGTATGGGTCACCATACTTGGCCACACATCACGTCCCTTCCTTTCCTAAATCTTTAAGGCCCCAAAGCCAGTTTTTGATCCAGTGTTAGTGTCTATAAGGAAAGGCCAGTCTAAAATCAGGTCAGCGTGCTGTTTGCCTTGAATCAAATCAGTTGGCAATGGCACTCCTATCTCCTATCTCTAAAACATTTAACAGATAAAACACACACTACAGCAGAAGATCTGATTTAGTACTATATCTATCATATCAGAGAAATTATTAAAATTTCACTTATATGATTTCACCCTTAATTCATGTTGAGTCATGACATATTTTCTTGTCTTAAATTGCTTCACATCAGCAGAATGCTGATTTAAATGTTTATGGAAGACTAAATGCAGATGAGGTGTTTCACAATTATAGAATCTAAATGTTGTAATTTTGTTGTTGTTGTTGTGGAACCACATATTGAGATGAATGTAGGTCTCTTGGATGGTACTTGGTGTAGATGACATTGAGACATCAGTGGCTTCACCTTAGATTAGATTATGATTGAGGTCATACTCTTTTATGGCAAGTGTGTGGTACAATGGGGTGAGCTGAAGCATCCCACACATGGAGCATCTGACAGGGCTTTCAAAATAATAAAGTGAAAATTGTACATTATTCAACCTTATAATAATGTTCATTAAAATGTAATTGCTTAACAGAAGAGAAATGCATTCAAATATGGATAAATAATTATCAGTTATTTGTAAATAATTTTATAATTATAAAGTTATTTGAATGTACATTAATTATGTCTTAAAAATGTTACTTGTTCATGTTATTAATGCATGTGAATAGTTTAGCTTTGACACAATACTGGGCACTTATTCAGTTTATTAATAATTGTATTGCAATCTAATGAATTGTTAATAACATTTATTTCAAATCTGTAATATTCCTTACAATTTAAATCAGTCTGTTCAGTTTGTGAGGAGTGACACAAACACTATTTTTAAATGGACTCCTGGGTATTCTTGAAAATGTTACTATAATTAAGAGCCACAAAAGACATTTTCCAAAGCTAACTGGAAGTTAAGAAGAGAGTATACCTCTTCCTGTTTTAATATTATATAATGTCAATGTGAAAGTATTACCATGTTCATTTATTTTGTCTTACAGTGTGACACCTCCAAATGATAGAAAGAGACATTTTCAGCATCAGGCCTAAGCATAAAATAGGTAAAAGCTTGCTTGTGCAGATTTTAGTTTGGGTGCCAACATAGCTGTATTGTGTCAAATAAAACAGGATGCGCATAAACTAATTTAAACGGCATTGTTCTAACACTAAACTTTATTATAATTCTATTAATGCTCATACGAAGAGGAATATGCTATATTAAGAGGGCTTATAATGAAGAGGACGTCATGGGATATGCTATGTGTAAAAATAAGTGGAAATAAAGGAAATATTGTGTTGAAAAATGTTGAACAAATGTTGAAGAGACTTTGTCACCAATAAAAGCTTAGAAAAACATACGACTTCAGCTGAACTTTTAAAAAACTGTCAACTGCTCTGTCATTTTATAGCTAGCAACAATTTTATAATAATAAATATTAGGCTTATTATAATATTTATAATAACTATGTTATTAACAACAACAACAACAACAATAATAATAATAATAATAACTATTATTATTATTATTTTAAAAGTAAACTCAAGTGTCATGACTGCGGAAGTTGATGGGTTTTCAAGCCCACTTCATCCTCTCATTTGTCTTGATAGATGTAAATCGCAGCCTCCTCCTACTGGCCCCTCCCACTCAAATACACACAGACCCACAGAAAGCGGGAGAGGTGTTTAAAACTTTTTGAGATCTGTCACCAACTTTGTCATCCCGAAAACCGTGGCGTTTGTCGCACGCTTTATTACCGTACTGACAGAAGATTTCGCTCTGGTCCTTTATTTTATCAGACGAAGGAAACGCTACACCGTGAACTCCCTAAGAAAGTTTTCTTCAGCATTACTGAAGATTCGCTGGTATGTCACTTTGTTTCTGTCTTCGCTTCTTTGAGACGTGTAAATTGTCTTAGAATTGTTGTATGACCAGTTTCGGATTCTTGTAAGAAATGTAGTTTTATAGCATGTTTACAGTCGCATGCTCACTCCGTAGACACGCACGTTGTTAGTTTCGAAGCACGCTGAGTCTCACGACGCGACAAAACTAGTTGATGTCTGCAATGCAAAGTGACGTTCTTCAAGTGCACGTAAAGATATAAAGGCCATTAGATTTCATTAAGTGATTGCTAGATGTTCATGTTCGTATTTTAAACTGGAGTTTTGTAAGTGTGCACGATGTCTGCAGATGTTGTGATGTGGTCAGGATGAGATGTGAAACTTGGTGCCTTCTGACAGCTGAACTGCAATGTGTTGTCCTGCAGAAAAAAAACTGAAATTCACAGTTTCTTTCTCCATTTACATGAAGCCCAACTCTTTTTTAGGATGAGTGGACTGCCTTACACAGGAATTTCATTTAATCAAATTAATGTAGCCTACATAGTTCACATAACACTGGGGGTACAGTCATGACATGAATCTATTTCAGTGCATGTAAAGACAAAATCCCTTTCCATTTACTAGTTGCAGGTATTGTGAAATTCTTAAGCAGGCCAGTAAGTATTAGATATTACAGCTTTGGGAATAGTGTTTTTTTTTTTTTTTTTAAGTTCAAGGCATACAGATTTCCCAGGACTTACGTTACTGAACTTGATACCATGACTGAGACTTAAACAACAGAAAATATTCATAAATATGATGTTTTGTGTCATAGGGTGATAATTTGGCTGTATGCATACTTTAAGGGGTACTATAGGTTCTTTAGCAGGATTAACAGCAGAGGTCCTGCTAATTATGTTAATCATCTTCAGTGGACGTCGTACAGTTCTAGACCAGTGGTTCTTATCTGGTGGACTGGACCCTAAAATGTATTGTAAGTCTGTTCTGATAAGGTCACATGCAAATAATCAAATGCACATAATGCATCTTTTAAAAAACTTTTAAAAGAGAGAACAAAATACTTCGCATTTTTTTGTTGTTGTTGGTGGCTAATGCTGTGCAACAAATGAAATTCGACAATATTTTGGCACAAATCCATTTGTTACTTGATTGAAGAAGTTACATTAGACAGGTGCCAACATTAAAAGGACCTAAAGCTATAAATCAATCAATAAATAAAAGATTTCAATGTTCGATTTTAAGGTCATTTTTATTTCCTTGTGTACGACAACCAATTTTGGGACTGTGTTGGGTTTTGATGTCTAATATAAAATCTGTCCTGAAGCAAAACCACTGATATAGACTGCAAAAATATCTTCTTTTTTGTTTTTGTTTTTGAAAAATACATTCTGCGATACCTGGACTGTCAGATTGTTTGTTTGTCTTTAAAAAAAAAAAAAAAAAAAAAAAGTAATTAAAGTATGCTTAGGTTTCATTGTACATCTTTTCTTATCATTTTAAGTTCTCACAAAAATGTTTATCAATATAACTTATTAAAAATCGATCTAAATGTAAAGCAGCGGATGTCCTTGTTACTCTAGTTATCATGCTGTGTTCGGTTACAAAAGAGACATTTTTTACCTTCTCAGTTTGTCAAAGTGGCTTAATATAATGTTTTATATAACCTAATCCATAATCTGTTCATGTGATGCTTACTATGTATTTACACATTTATAAAAATGATGTCTTTGACTGAGACTGAAAGTCTCTTTCATTATGCATGGCTGATCTCCTCAGGGAGATTTGTTCTGGGTCCCGGTCAGGCTTTTCATGCCTGTCAGACACTAGATGATCCCTGCAAGTGTCTTACGTGAGAAAACGAGGGTTACTGGGTAGTGAATTGCATGGGAAAAAGCTAGTATGAGCTTTTAAAAGTACTAAAGTGGCTTCTCATACAGTGATTATTGTATTGGAGATGAACAGAGGAGTGAAGGTGGTTTCATGAGGACAACAGACCTGTGACTGTTATCGGATTCAAGACCCCTGTGACATGTTGATTCAGGTCCTCAGTGTTAGCGATCACTCACTCCCAGCTTATTACTCTCTAAAAAGATAGAGGGAGACAGAGGAAGTTCAGTGTTTTTGGGAGATAACTAAATTCACCGTGCATAGCTGAGAAGATTATCACAAGATTTCACGGACTTTTTCATCTTCTTTTCAGTCTTCGTCACATTGGCGTTCTGTGTGTAGTGTCACTGATGATTCATAACTAGAGGCGTATGAGTAAAAATTGCATGTTGATGCAAGTGTAAGTGTGTTACTTTGCATGCTCTGATGTGACTCACAAAAAGAGGTCACACACACAGATGTGCAGATGTTCCATAAAAGTTTTTTTTGTATGTGTGTGCTCTGTGGTCTTAGTGGCGGCCCTGAGGTGTGATTTAGTGTGTGCATGCTGTGTGAAAGAACTCGTCCGGTGCTAAAGATGCGAAATTGGGCCAGTGAGTTGATTAGATTGACTAATCTGTATCACTGTTGGAGGTTGTGGTTTTGTTTGAGTGCAGCTGGCCACTTCATGTCCCCAGTGTGTAACTGTTTGACACGTGGCTACAATCACAGCCAACACGGAGAGGATCCATTTGGGCCAACGAGCATCTTCCATTATAAACATGTCAAAGACGCCCCCGTCACCATTCACTTACGCAAACGGGAAACCGCACTCTGTTTAGACTGAATGACTCAATCCAAATAAGATTCATTAGCAGTCAAAAGACCCGTGTTGAACTTTACTATGGTTTTCGAGAGGCCTCCACTTCCAAAGTGGCCCTAGATGATGTGCTCTACAGGTACCCACATTTTCATAAGTACTCATGCCATGTTTCTTGGCTGGAACAATGTAGGCTGGAGGGAGTTGTGTTTTATTTATACATGGCTAGAAATAGTTGTGGTGTGTTATTCTCTAGAGGTCATGCTGTATTTGGTCTGGCCTCTCATGCTGCGATGGCTTTCTGAAGGACATGGTCAAACATACCGTAAAGACCCCTTGGAATAAAAAATCGGAGTTTTATGATTTTTAGTCCATGTCTGTTAGCTTTGACATGGTCTCTTTACTCTCTTAAAAATAAAAGTACTTTTTTCGCAGGAACCTTTAACATCCATGGAACGTTTCCATTGCACAAGTCAGGACTTTTCACTAGGGGTGTGCGATATTTATCATCTGCGATAATATCTTAATTGTTGTTTTAACGATATGCAAGCTGACATGATCAAGTATGCCACTCACTTTGCAAAACAGTTGTATTTATTTATTTTACAAAAACACGTGTTGAAAGTCCAAAATCTACATGCATGATGAAGCCTATTAGAATGCAGTTAAAATTATGAAATATCCCTGTATGGGTTTGTTTTTTATATTCATATAGTTATAAATAATATCACACAAGCAACAGTGCTGTTTTCCTAAATATTAGCACATGAGCACAATCTCGAATGTGATATTAACTTAATAAAACAGTTCAATAAACAAGAGGTTAATATTGAGTGAGGGTGCGTTCACACTTGTCATGTTAGGTCCGCTTCCAAACGAACTCTGGTGCGGTTCGAATGATATGTGAATGCAACACGGACCAAATACTTCTAAACGAACCAAAAACAGGAAGTAATGACAAGATGCGATGCTATGCGACATGATTTGACAACGTGGTGTAACCAAAACAAAATGAGCAGAGGGCAAACGTGGAGCAACGATGAGGTAAAGTGCCTTTTATGAGCTCTGTGAGTTTGCAGGGGGTGAAAATAAAATGATATGTACTTGCAAGAATGAGCGCGCTTAGTCCAGCAGACGGCATTAGGTGTGTTTGACTTAAAGCGGCGTTGAGCAGACCGATCGGTTAATGGGTGCTTTGATATCATACACCCGCAGTGCCGCTTTAAGTCTAACGCACCTTTTGTTTGGGGTAGGCATGGGACGATAACCGGTTTCAAGGTATACCACGGTTTGGAAAAGTCACGGTTTCAAAACCACTAAAATTTTCCGTTATACCGTTCCTGCGGTATGCACAGTTTTTTTACGTGTCGTCAAAGACGGAAAGTGCA